GAATAGCCAATTCAAACAATGCATGTGGAACCCATTTACCTTTTTGAATCTTCCCCATTGTATATAAACGACCTAAAACGGTTGATTTATCAACATTTAATGCTTCAGCTAGTTCTTGAAGCGTGTGAGCTGAGTTTTCATCCAATAATGTCTGCAATTCGACATCTTCAGATTTTTTAGGTTGACCTGAACGTTCTTTGTCTTTCAAATCAAAGTCATCACGCCGAAATCGCCGATACCAGTACTCGCATGTTATGACCGATGGGGAAAAGTCAGAATAAGTTTCTGAGATGAATCGATGGACTTCAGCAGCCGTTTTTTTCCAATCGAAACAATAAAGCAGCAAATGTCGAAAATGCTCTTTACCACATTCCATTTTCAATCGCGCAAAAATGTGGTTATGTTCACGAATGCACATGCCATGTGTCAAATTATTTATAGGAATGTCCAAGCTTTAAAATGGCGTGCCAACTTTCAAAATATCTCTAATAAATTTGTAGCTATAGTCATTTATATTAAGCCCTCGAAACTGATCGGGATACCTAATATTCCAAAATACCGATGATGCACCGGTTGCACCTAGTATATTATGCAGGCAGGAAAACTTAATTCTAAATTAAGTTATTAATTAATAAATTTATTAAATTAAATAACTAAATTAAGTTTAATTCTAAAAAAACTAGATAGGTATATTAAAATTAATTAAAATATATAAATTTAGAATTTATTCGTTAGAAATTGCTTTTCAGAAATTATTACGTTACACGTTAAGAATTAATTAATTATCACTGATTGTCAAGCATTCTCGCTAACAATAAGCGAGAAAGACCTTAGTGTTCGCGCTGCTAGATAGGCTTTCTTACTCGAGGAATTTGACTACGTCGTTCACCGCCCGCACATGACCGTCAGCCTTGTTCTTCGTTCTTGCGTTATTGGAGGAGAAAATGCAACGAGAATTGGAGGCACGGAAGGATATAATTGCGAGATATTTCTCGTTTGTGAAGAGATGTTGTATCGTAGGATATGGTGTATCGAAGGGGTCGTGTCTTATTGGAAAATGTGTGAATATACATTACAGCGGTTGCCCGTTTCGACTTCAGTAATGATGTTGCGATGGTATGAATGTTGCAGTAATATGCTTGCGATCTCAAATCTGTCGTGACTTATACATGAAACTGGTCACTTTGCGGTTGATAAAACAGAAACGCTGTTTAAACGAAATTATTGGCAATCCAACGTACATAATACGATAGGAAATTGCTCGAAATATATTTTAGCAAATAAGAAAACGGACATGTTGGACAAATATTTGAGCCCCATTCCTGAAGATAGTGTAGTTCTTAATATTTATCACAATTATCACACTGATTTATCACACTTTGGATCGCTATCATCTATTAAAAAGTATCGTTATAGATGCTTTTGTCGTGATAGATGAATCCGCAAAATTTACATGGTTGTTCGGAACTCGATCGACTAGCACAGCAGAAATTTCAAATAAATTAAAGACGTTAACTTTTATCTTTGGGAGTCTTAAAAGGATTTCCTAAAAGGAATTCCTAAAAAGAAAAGGTAAACCTCAAAAATGTTATACATGGCGCAGTATTCGGAAACGATTCCGAACTGGAGTATCAGTACGATTTTTTTTCGGCTAACGTTCGGTACTCACATGCTATTGAAAGACAATCCCGAAGAGCCAGAAGAACAATCGAGAGCGAATGGGAAATGACTTCCCAGGAAAAGTGTGACGAATTAAGAGAACAAGCACGAAAAACATAATACGCGTGCAGGATATAATAGACGTCGGGACGAGGCGAGACAATAGCGATAGACGGAAACGATTTGGTAGCTATTCAAAGGACACAGTTAGGTCCCGGAGTGAAATGTGCCGTTAAGTTCTTAGGTCCTTATGAAATAATAAAAGCATTGTCAAGTTGAAACGTGTAGATAAGTTGTCCAAAAGATAGAAATCGAGAGGGAGGGCTTAAGACAAAGTCTATAGCCGATTATACAAAGTCGTGGATCGGGATAGCGGATTATTCGGAAAGTTCCGAACGGTAAAACCGAGATCTGAGGTCAGGTCCAGAGTCAAGATGGCCGAACAGAATTTTATTTCCCGACTTATCGCTATTTTACTTTTCGACTTGACGTTATCTAACTTCTGTTTCTCATCTTGTGCGTTTCGCGATCACGCTTCCGTCGTTTGTATCGTGCCTGGGAACATCCAAAAAAAAAGCATTCTATTTGTAAAGTGATTTTTCTCATAGTCTCATATTCGAAGCGAAGCCTTTTACACCGATAGAAAAATATATGATAGTTGAATTAACTATAATCTCACTATATTTTATAGTTCATTTTGGCGTCAATTATATTTTTATAGTTCGTGGAACCTGCAAAATATAGTAGAATAAACACAAATATATAGTCAATGATTGTCTTAAATAATTGTTTAGTTACTTTTACTACATATATGGTAATTTCTCATTCACAAATACAGTGAGATTAATATTCATATAGTTACAACTGTCATCATTTAGCAAATATTCTGGTAATATTGACCATATAAAAGAGTTACCTCACCTACGATCTTATATTTGTATCCATACAATAATTTTAGTTTAACTTACTATAATTTTAGTAAAAAGTAAAATATTATTAGTAAAAATATTATATGGTTGGTTATACTATGCCTATATCGTAATTATTACCGATATTATGGTAATACTTACAATAAATATGATATTTCGGACTATAATTTAGTTATTATATCATTATAGTTCCAAATATCATATACTTTTCTCTCAATGTACAGAAAGAGGATTCCTCTGTCGATAAAGCGATTAAAATAAAGCATTCATCTCAAATTTACTAAATATTATTCTAATTGTTTTCCTCTTACTTCAAAAGGTTCTCCTCTTATCTCAATTAATTTTCCTTTTATATGAAGAGGAATATATTGATAGAATGTCGACTTCTTTTGTTCAGTAAGTATAACAAAGATAATTTACCTTATATTTGGTCAAATACAGTTTATAATCTATTGCAAGAAGTTGAATAATATATTCTTTCTTTTATACTATAATTTATACAATTGGTTATGATGAACATCTTTGTGGCTATGAAGTCCATAAAAAAACTGATTGGAAATTTATTTGTTACGATGATCTTGTTTCATTCGTACACACCTACTTATTATAGAATTGGAGTCAGAAGTACATATATATTACTTTTCGCTATACATTATAATAATTATTTCCAAATTAACCAGTAAGAATAAAGTACAATAAGAATAAATAATAATCCTCTTAAAAAAGATTAAACAATCTGTGTGTAAGAGGAAATTTATATTAAAATCAATAAGATTTACATTATACATATAATTCCTCTAACTTTAAGAATAATGTGTTTATAATATTTTCCTCTTAATTTTAAAGGAATTCTCTTGAAGCCATATATAAAAGTAAAATCCTCTAAAATTTAGATGTTCCGCTTTCTGAAATTACTCTTTTTTGGGTGAGAATACAGAGATTCCGCTCAGTGTCAATGTCGCTAAAAATTCAAGACTTTGCTTGAAGCTTATATCGAGAAACAAATAACAATCTGAAGGAACGTTGGAACGTTTCGGATATTAGGAAACTACTCGAAGACTTTTGTTTCTGAAAGAATATAAAATTGCACATCTCAAAGGAGATCGTCGCTGATTTCGCTTGTCATCTATAAGCGGTCTTTCCCTAAACAAAGGACTGAAACTTAGAAGAGAGTTGAATCTCTTTAAAATAATCCTACAAATATATCGATATTGACAAAGTAAATAATAAAGTACACTACATACGGGGAGTATCCGTAACTGTGCTTCGACTTCGCTTTTTTTATTTCCGTATTTACGATTTCTACCATTTGTAATGTCGTTATCAACCTACGGATTGCCTCCGACGATTCTCTCTCTCTCTCTCTCTCTCTCTCTCTCTCTCTCTCTCTCTCTCTCTTTCTCTCATATTTGCACGTGACATCGCGATCTGTCTCTACGACATTCACATAGACATTAAATTGAGGACAAAAGCGCGACGTTATGAAAGCAACATGTGTGTATGTATGTGTGTGTGTGTGGAAACTAAATAAAACACTCTTCCCGACGTGACTTCTTTGTCCGTACGAGGCTATTCCCCGATTGTTGCTCCACTTGAAAATCGCGCGAGTTCCGTCGAACCCGCCTTAAATTAACCCAACAGGATATGCTGATGCGGCCGCGCACAATACGGAGTATCTGCCCAACATTATTCGCCATCGTCTATGATAAATAAAGCAAAAGCGCCTGCATATTGGAACAGACGGCGGACCTATAGAGATTAGCGGATAAGCGATTATGCATGTGTACAGAAGAGCGACTGTTAAAAATTAAAGCACGCTTCATCCGGTGTTGACACGCGTGAAGGTCGACGCACATGTGACACGCGCGTCCCGTGACTTCGAAACGTCACGTGACGAGCGCGCATCGCGGGAAGAGCGCGTGCGACTTCTCTCAGCGCGCGCGCGGGCGTAAACAAGCGTTATACTCCGCGATCCTGAGTAACGAGCACATTCCCATGAGGTCGTGGCACAAGCCTTTGACCTTCACATACCTCGGAACGTCACGTAACGTCACGTGGCGATCCTCGCGTCGCCGAGCGATGTGGTGGCGTTTACGCGAGCAAACTCGCCCGAGTCTCGCGACACCGGCGATACCTCTCCGCGACCTTCGCTGAAAATCAGCGTCACGGTCTCGGGAGAGAGGCTGTCTAACGGTTTCTCGCACCTCGCGGGGATAGCGACGGTGTAAGGTCACGTGACAGCTCGCTGCGCCGATTCGGAGCAAGCAACGAGGCTGGCTGGCTGGCTGGCTGGCTGGCTGGCTGGCTGGCCAGTTGGCTGTCTTGCCTGGGCGCTCGCTCGCGTGGATACGTCATGAGCACGAGTCTCGTCAACGAATGAGTAAATATAAATAAATACAAGAATTCGCTCACCGCTCGCACTCGTCGGGTACCGCCGGCGGCTGCTAAGCCTCTCTCTTTCTCTCCGGTCGACGCCTCGCCGCTCCAGAAGGAACGCGGAAGACGCGAAAGATGAGAGGACGTGCAGAGCGCTGTGCGACTGCTACACCCAATTGCGAGCGCGGCTCTGAAAACTTGGCGGATCCTGCGGTTTGCGAATTCGCGCCCGGTGATGGCGTCCGATCTCGTAGTTGCGTCGCCTCGCGTCGCGTCTCGTCCCGACCCGTCCTGCCGTTGTCACCGCCGCCGTCGTCGTTATCGTTGTCGTAATAACTACCGCGTATCAGACTATCAGGCGTCGCCGCGAATAAGCACACCGAGCGAGCCGCCCGCCGCGATCTCACATCCACGACGGAGCACGGATGACTGACTGGTAGACGGTCGGTCGGTCGGGTTGCTCCCGCCGTGCCTTTACTTCCCTCTCTCTCTCTCCCGTCTCTCACCCTTCGCTCCCCTTGCCCCCCTCGCCATACTATTTCGCGCCCACGACTCCGACCCGCCGCGGTCCATCCCCGCCACTGACTGTTCTGAACGCCCCCGCTGCACCTTTCCTTGTCTCGTGGCGTTATGCAGCGCAGTTTCGCTCTCTTTCGGTCCCGGTGTCGTCGATCTCTCTCTCTCTCTCTCTCTCTCTCTCTCTCTCTCTCTCTCTCCCCCCTCTCTCTCTCTCTCTTGGCCGCCCTCCACAACCCCCTCGATTTCTCTCGGTCTCCCTTGATTCCCTTCGGTCTTTCCACGGTTTCTCTCTCGTTCCTCTGGGTCTCTCCCGCCAGCGTGCCGCGTGCGATCTCCCTTCTCTCTACTCGCCAGGTAAAGGCACGAGCGAGACGTCGAATGAGAGAATGAACGAGCGAGCGAGAGGACTCGACGGATGCCAGTGTCGGAGCGGCGGCGTAACCAGACCCACGGCTTTGATTTTCTTTATTTCAGTTCGGTCGGCTTCTCCAACATTTTTTTCAACGTACAGTTCAACTCTGGCATGATCTTCGGTCCATCGTCTGTGGGGGTGGCCGGGACTCCCTTTTAATCCTCTTTCGATTTTTCATCGCGATCCTTTCGGCGACGCTCCGATTTTTCGCCCGGAGCCTTGCTTCCACGCGTGCGCTTTTTTTTTTTGCAATTTTAATGGCCTCCTAGCCGCAGGAGATACGGTCTTGTTGACCGACCATGCAAAAATACGAGATGAAGATATGTAGGTCAGTGTCGGTAAATGGGGTGTTTTAATATTGGGATATGCGGTCGATTTTTTTTTTTCATTCGGCGTATATTTCCATTTTTATTTTGCGCCGCGCCGATATCCCTTATCGAAGAACGCGCGGTTTCTTTATTGGAATAATTATTTTGCTATAATGTCACGCGAATCCCCCGGCAGAATGCAAATAAAGATTTATCTGACAGTTCGCGTTGCAGAATATTGGAGCGGCAGTTAAATTTATCGACCTATAAAACGCGGACCTGATATCGTCGAACCTTGAGATATATCATTTGGTATCGACTGCTCTTTTTTTTCTTTCTCTAGGAAATAACGTCATATTACGAAAATGATTATAATCGGCGGTAAAATACGAATAACGCGGCGATATGGATGTAAATCCATATAATTTAGCGGAGTGCTCGGTCGTGCCCGATTCAATAAAGTTTAGAAATGAATGTTTATTCGCCAACGTCCTTATTTGTCACTGACGATATTAATGCCGCGGATTATTGAGTAAGGAAACGCACGCAAGGGAAACTTCCGTGGCGGATTTTGGAACAGGGTCAAAGTTGGCGCTCTAATATCATTAACCTACTAACTATTAATGCCAACTAATTCAATGACGAAAACATTTGAGCTGTGGCTCGACGTGGAATTATGCAAATGCCGAACGCCATGTTTTGTACGACTTACGCCGGTTGTTTCGCACCGAAGATTTGCTTACAAAAGAGAGGATTAACCTGCTCGGGCGCCGATAATGACACCAACCAGCAATCAGAACAGGTCAAAAATGCACTCAGTTTCGCAGAAGTGCCACCATTTTGCAGTCGATCTGTCAACATTCGTCAAGAATTCTCCAACTTCAATGTAACGCCCGCCATATTGAGGCAGCCAACAATCTCATCAATCGCATCAATCGCCGCACGCGGGGTCCTCGCTGCCGCTCGGACAGTCCTGGGAGTTCCGGCACGAATTCATTTCTTCCCTCTCTCACTTCCGCTCATTGATCCTCCTTCTCTCTGTAACTGCTCTTCTGGATACATAAACTCGCATGCATCTGATCTGCTCCAGCGAGACCTTTAGCACAAGTAGTCGTGCTCCGCTCGTCATTGTCGTCGCCAAGTCGGACGCTGCATTCTGCTTGCATCCACGCGTGCTGAAGGAAGCATTTTAAATTTTATCGCTGTGTTTGCATCCGTTCACTTGAGCTGCGCGAACAAGGGCACCGTCACTCTTTCGATCGGCCCTGATAGTTGCGGCACGAACACATCCCTTCCACGTCTCTCACCTTGCTCTTTCTCCTTCTCCCGCTTGTTCTTCCTCTACATACGTGCACGTACGTACAAGTAGTACAGACATAACCGAACCTTTCTCTCTCTCTCTCTCTCTCTCTCTCTCTCTCTCTCTCTCTCTCTCTCTCTCTCTCTCTCTCTCTCTCTCTCTCTTGGTCGTTCCTTCACTGCGACCATCCGACATCCATCTCTTGTTCTCCTCTCCTCCTCCTCTTCTTCCGCTCTTCTATCATTCTCTTTCACTCTCTCCACAACTTTCCAGCCACGTCCTTATATATCCTTCTTCTCTGTACGCCAATACAGATCTTCCGTCTCTGTTTTTCTTGTCCGCATAGATAGGCGTGCAAGAAGAGACGATATCAGAGGGGAATGCTAAACACGAGCGCGCATTCCGATAGAACGAATAGAAAATCGCACCCCTCGTTTTTCCTTCCTCCTCTGGAGCAGCCGGCGATTCCTCTCGGGTCGGTCTGTATCTCTCCGTCTCTTTCTTTATACACGCGTGCACCTTGCGTGCCGTTCGGGATAATTTAATCAATGCTACGAGTGAGAAGTACGTCCACGCAGCCTCCGCAATTTGTCCGTCGTGGTAGTCGCGGCGAATGAAGTCGTCGCGATGAATTTGTCATCTCCTGTGTGATAATCTTTTACAAATAAACACCCCGTGAAAAGCTATTGCCCCAAATTCTAACTAGCCCGTCTAACTTTCGGCCGCGATTCGACGTGGATCGGGGAGAAAAAGTATCCTGTCTAGAAGATGTCGACCCAAGTCACTTCTGCGAGACGGAGTTCCACGGGGACGGAATTGCGTCTTGCTGTATTTACGGCCTCGTCGCTTCATATTTTCACCGATAAGGAGACCCCCGCGACTCGCGGAGCCGGCGTCTACGTGTGCGCGCAAAGCTAAGCGCTTCGAAAACAAATCCATCAGATGCGGAAAAGAAGGACTCCGCATGTCTGACGCGACCTGGATCTCCACTGGCTCCCCCGAAGATTGCGTGCCTCTCGCCGCTTATTTTTGCTCGGCCGAAAATCCGGATTCTCTCCGCCACCCTCAACACCTAGCCGCACGGACCTTCTTTGGCACCGACTTCCGGTCGAGCGCTCCTCCACCCCTCCTCCCGCTCGAGCTCGTTCGTCTGTAATTCCTCGACTCAAAAACCCGCCGACGGTAATGATATCATGTCAAAAAGGCAGCCACCGCCATTGTCGTAATCGGCGAACGTGCGCACGCGCGGATATTCGACAAATCGGATATTATCCGGATCTTCGTTATCGGTTCCGCTCTCGGAGCGCATCCTGCGCTCCGCAAGTCAAACGATGCCGATCTTCCGCCTTCTCCTCTTCCTCTTTCGACATAGTTCAGCCCTTTTATTGGCTGGTTATCGTGCAGAAACAAGAAGAAGTGTAAAGGGAAGCTTTTTCTTCCTCGCTGCGTTCTTTATGTTCTCTCTCGAGAGAAGGTTTTATATAATATCTATTAAGATCATAAGGATCCCCTTTTAGATGATGATGGAATTGTTCGAATGTGCCTCTCGCCCTTAAAAAGAGAAAGAGAGAGAGAGAGAGGGGGGAGAGAGGGGGGAGAAAGGGGGAGAGAGAGAGAGAGAGAGAGAGAGAGAGAGAGAGAGAGAGAGAGAGAGAGAGAGAGAGAGCGAACACGCTTGGTGCACGATAGTTAATAGATAAATAATAGAATACGATTCTCTCTCTCACGCGTGTTAGCGTACTCTTCTTCCCCCCTCTCCCTCGCAAGCCCTCCGTGTATCTGATAAATTCTCAGTTATCACTTTTCTTCCGGCTACCAGGAATGACTGACAGAGATTAATGAAAGTACTAAATGCCGCGGTAGATAAGATCCGTCCGAGGTCGACGGAAGAGCCGCGGCGGATCTCCGCTCTGCAACTTCTGTTTTAACTCACGATCAATCTCTTTTTTCTGCTTCCTGTAAATCGGCTCGCACTTACCGCCCTGGAATGGACTGGTTCTCCCTTTCCTTCTCTCTCTCTCTCTCTCTCTCTCTCTCTCTCTCCCTTTTGATCGAGAAAAAGTACTCGTGTCTAGTTACGGATATTTTTACAACATCGTAAATAAACTGTCGAACGTGCAAACCGAAACCGAAGTCCACACGCTTGCCTTCCGAATCTTCGCGTCGTCAAAAAGTCACGAACAATTTCTCTCTGGTGCTTTTAACGTACAGAGTGATCCAACTAGAAGTGCAGGATTTGTTCTGTAAATGAAACAACGAAATTACTTGTAAATTATTATTTTTGTTACACCAATGTGTTTGTTAGGAATTGCGTATGGGAAACAACATTATGTAAGTGATCGCCTCTACTCTTTTCACAAATTACTACTCGTTTAATAAAGTTTTCAATAATTTTTTGCAACATAAAAGGTTGAATTTCGTCAATTTCTCATCAAATATTTGTCTTTAAGCGCTCCGTAGTTTCAGGATTGTCGGATTGTCGTTTCTCCAAATAACTTCAGAGAGAATAGTCGATATTGCAGAATATATGATATATATGTATATCAACTCCAATTTCGCTGATCTTCACATATGTTATCAAAGATATGTTATCAAGGGTATGTTCCAGAGTAATCTCCTGCAAGTTTTAGGTAACGCTTATCTTTTATAAAAGAGTTACGAACAAAAGAAGTTTGAGGAAATAAACATGCCTGTGAGCAGCAAGTGAAGTATATTCCTTAAATCTTTCGTTTTGTTCGTAACTCTTTTGTTAGAAGGTTGAATTAGTTCTGGTCCCTAGCAACAGATGGCTTTAGTAACAAGTTAATGGTCAGTATGAATATTGAAATCTGGCAATACTGAGAAATTTGACATTTCTCTATGACATACGACAGTTTGCG